ATTACTAATAATTTTCTTAATTAAAACTTTAGAATAATTTTATTTTAATATATCATTGTAAAAATTAAAAAAAAATTATATTCAATTTAATTCGATTTAATTCGATCAAATATTTGATTTGATTTGATTTGATTTGATTCGATTAAATTCAAATCAATTCAATTTGATTCGATCAAATTTTTGAGTTCAATTTGATTTGATTTGATTTGATTTAAAAAAATCAAATCAAATTCAAATTGCTTAAATATTTGATTCGATTCGAATTTGAGGAACTCTAATTATTAGTATATTTATTATTTTTCTTATATTTTATATATTTATTTTATTTAATATATTTATTATTTTTATTCAAAATTAGTTGGTTTGTATTATTAAAAATAATAGTGTAAAATTATTATAAATAAAATAATTTTTTATTAATGTAAAAATTAAGACTATAACTGTCTCAAAATATCAATAGCTCTAATATCAATAATGAACTAAAATTTAATAAAAAATTAGTATTAAATATAAACTTTTTTTTTCATATTCAATAGATAAGATTTAATGTGATATCTTACACTATATTATAAATTTTAGTTCATTTGTCATAATTTTCCTATTATTTTGAAAAGGAATTATAAATAAAATAGAAATATGTATTATAAGTTTAAGAAGTTATGCTTCAAAATATCTAGAAAGTAGATTCTTTAAAATTAGAAACTCTATAGAATTTAATTATTTTGCATTGTGAATAAATATAAATGAAGTCAACCAAGTCTTTGACAAAGAACAGAAACTTTAGATTTGATTAACAAAATAAATATAAATTATTATCATGTGAAATATAGAAGTAAAATTCCTATACTGATAACATATACAATATACTAATTAGGTATATAAATTCAGTCTTTTTCTAAATACAAAAAAAAAGCAATTTATATTTAATATATAAAAATATTTACAAATATATTATATTATTTTTTACATATATTATAAGTTTTTTAAACATATTATTTCTGTATACAGATTATTTATAGGGATTAATTATCTTTAATTATCTTTTTAACTAGTTTACTAATTAATTTTCAACTGATTACCTTTCAAATTACATTAATTTTTATCCTATTTGTATAAAATATATGATTTACTTTTATTATTAATTAAAGAGAAAGCAAAAATTATAAAAACTAAAGAAATATTATAAATTTTATTAACTAATTTAATTAAACTATTTTAATAAAAGAAACTAAAGATGCCAGCCGAAACTCCTTCAAAATAATTTCGTCATATTCCTTACTATGTTTGTAATATAGTTTTGGCTAATTTCGGGTTTCAGGGTTTCATCGTACCCCTCACTATGTTTTAATATAGTTTCAGCTGTTTATTAATTGCCTTTTTTGAGTTTCATTCCTCATCTTTAAAAGAAACAAATTAAATATGTAAATTTAGTTAATAATATTATCTTCATTTCTGAGATTTTAATTATTTTGATCATTAAATTGTAACTAAAAATAATATCTTTCTTTGATAGTAATATATAAAGTAAATTCTGTAATTACTTATTTATTAGTATATTATTATTAATTAATCAAATAAACTTAAAAATCTAAATTCTTTTCATAAGAATTTATCTAAGAATTTTTATATAAAAAATATGTTTATTTAAAAATTACTATAATTTATTTGAAATAAACACAAAAAATCCTTTTATCAAAAATATTTCTCTTTTTATTTCTTATATTTCTATTTAAAATTTTGTTATAATAATTTAAACAATATTGTTTTTTTGTTAAAATATTTTTTTATATCTTAATAATATATTTTTTTCAATTTTTTCTCTTTTTCTTACAGCTAATTTCATAATTCATGGACCATTAATAATTTTTCAGTCGCATTCAGTCACAATATTTTATAGTAATTTTATTATAAAATATTTTCAGTCGCATTCAGTCGCAATTTATTAGTGGTCCACGAATTATGAAATTAGCTGTAAATTATAATAAAAGGTATTAAGATTATATTAATTGATAATTAGAATTAATAATATATTTTAAATAAACAAATGATATTTTTCTTTCTTTTTAAATAGTATTTTATTATAAAACTTTTATATAGTGATTATAAGATAAAAATAGAGTGATAATAAATGTAATAGATGATAAATTATATTATAATTTATTTAATATCATCTTAGATATATGAATAAACAGATATTTTTAATCTAAATTTTTTTTATTATATATATATATTAACTTTTTATTACATAATTTTTTAGTTAATTAAATAGCTAAAAAATAAAATAAAGTTAAATATATTTTAGAATTTATTAATACCTTTAAAATAACTGATTGATTAACATATAATAAAATATTTATTATCAAAAAGATATAAATGGATATTTATACTAAAAAAATAATGTTTTTTTATTAAAAAAATAAAGATATATAATAAAAATCATATTATGTATTGATGGACTCTTAACTTATAATATATAAAAAAGTTCAATAATTTTTAAAGATTTTATAGAAAAAATTATTTATTTATTATGATTTAAAATAAAATTTTATCATAATTACTAAAAATAAACTGATTTCCTGAACTATATAAGGTGATAAAATTTCTACATAAGAAAACTTTATGTGAAAAAAAGGAAGTAATATTTGAATTTTTACTAATCCTATATGTTAGTTAGTAATAATATTTCTTAACAATTATTTTATATTTAAGGAAATTAATGATTGGGTCAAAATCCTGTAAAGCATTAGATCTAGATTATGCATTTATTAGAAAAGAATAATATAGCATACCTGATACAATTAATTAAAATAATCAAAATTAAAAAATTGTTTTATGAATGAAATCCTTACTATTTAAGGGTAAAATTAAGTATAAATAAATTCTTTTATCGGGCATTCACTATTTGAAGATTTATGGTTACTAAACATTTAATATGTTACGATTCAATATGCCTGATAAAAAGGTATTCAACAATATCGAGTCTTACTGCTATTTTCAATAAGCAATGTAATCAGTAAAATTTGCTAAGCTCCACTCAGCCAATTTCACCAACATTACTTATTGCAAATACCAGTTACTTAAAAATTATTTTTAATAAATTTAAAATTTTATACCTCGGCTTTTTTTGCAGATACTTTCATAGATGTAGTATAATATTTAAATATGATTGTTATTAATTAATTTCGCATTTATTACATAAAAAATATAAAGAATAAAATTACTTCTGAAGACTCGAGAAAGAATTATGTGAAGCAAATTGGATTATCTTAAGAGGAATTTGGTATTACAAAGACCCAAATATAGTTTTTCCAAAGCTTTTCTGGAATTGGATCTCATGAATAAGATTATAAATTTTACACAAAGCCAATAAACAGAAGGGGGGGGGGGAGAGATGAATATTAATGATTAAAGTAAACAGTAGCACAATGTGATTGTTATTTGAGAGAATTCGAAGTCACCATTAAACAGTTAGGAGGTAAGTTGTTAGCAGAGAGAGAGATAGATAGAGAATGTTTTTGCGGTTACTACAAATCGGGGAACATTGTTCTTAATCGAAATCATTATGACTACGAGACAAGAATTTTTGTTAAGATACACAACAACGCGTGTAACAGTACACTCAAAACCTTGTTTATTTAATGTATCATCTAAATCGTGTTCCAGTACAATTTTTCATCATACAATTCATATAGCAGGTAAAATTTCGGTTGTGACGTAAGTAGTTGTATTGGAACGAACCGTATTGTTCGTGGTGACGCTGGTCATAGTAATCGTAATCTTTGAGCCGGTTGTAGCTGATGTAGAATGTGCCTGATCATTTGGTAATTTTGGTAATGGTATCTGCCCTGATTGATGTATATTACTTGAAGGTTCGTTTAATGAAGGAATCGGTGTTGGGGATATGTGTATCTCCGGACGCATCGGAATTTCATTTCGTCGTATAGAAACAACTCTTGGTCGTGTTGAAGAAAGACTATTTTCGGCAGTGTCGATTTGTTGAACATAATTGCTCTTTGGCGGTCTCCCTTTTCTTTTTTTTTTGTTTTGATCATTCGGTTGAGTATTGGTGGTACTTTTTTTTGTTACTTTTCCCATCTTGACTAAAAATAATTTGATAAAACGCGAGATTAACCAAACATATATTATTTTTTTGTCTTTAATTACATGAATAATACGACCTTCAAAATAAAAAAACATTTGACAGCACGTAAATAAAGATAATTGTTTCTTACCAATATTAAATTATTATAACTTTCAAAGTTACTATACAAAAAGAAAAGATTTAAGCTTATTGAAAAGTATTATAACATTTTCTTTACAATTAAACTTTAATCTTGCTCAAAGTATTTTATACTCAAAAACCTTACTTTTTTTAACGTTTGTCAGAAAGTCAAAGAAAAATTTTGTTCTAGCAAGAAAAGTAAAATTACGCCTTATTGAATAAAATAAATAAATAAATAAATCCGTTGTGCGACAAAGAAATTTGATTTAATCCCCAAAAAATTTCACCCCAAGTGATTTTTGGCCGGCATTATGGAACTTGGCCAAATTAACAACTTGGACATTTTAACCCCGAAAAAATTCAAGTCCCCCAGAAAACATATTTATGAGGTCACGTGTATGTGAAATTCTTTGTTGATAGGTCAATCACGTCTTATGTTTTCGATTTATTTAATAACAATATCTTAAATATTTATTTCTACGGTATTTTCATTTATGTAAATTATAATTGAATAATAAGATTTCTATTTTTTACAAAAATGAAAATCATTTACACGGAAAGTGAAAATAAAATGTTCATACAAATCAAAAATTCAAAAATTCGAAAGTTCAAAAAAAAAAAATTAATAAAAGAATTAATTTCAAATTTATCAATGAGATTTACTTTAATTAATCGAGAGAACTATGTCCGGTTGGAAAATTGGATATTAAAAAAAAAAGAATTTAACTTTGCCAGAAAGCAAATGATAGAATTTACATAACTTACTTATGAATAATGGAGTGAGCTAATACATCCTACGCCGGATTTTCCTTGGCTTGTTGTTTTATTCTCTTTTCATATGCGACGCGATCTTTCCTATTAACAAGACAATTTTTGAAGTTACATGAGGAAACAACATTAAATTGAATAATGAAATAATTTCCTACTTGAATAACATATAAGCATCGGATTGTGCAGGACTATCGGGATTCGGCTCATCAAGCAGGTTTTGTATTCCCAATAGGATCTATAATGAATTAAATGACATTAGGTAAGCAAAATAGACAAATTATTATCAAAGAATAAAAATCAATTACCTGTTTAATTGTAATCGCGGGCTTCCATCCTTCTTCTTCATTTAGGATTGACAAACAAACCGTTCCGGATGGATAGACGTTAGGATGAAATAACGCGGGAACAAATTTGCCTAATAAAAAAAGTAAAATATATGAAAGGGTAGAATCCATAATAAAGAAATAACAATTACTCCATTCAGCGAGAATCGTATACTTCATCTTAATTCTTGGCTCTTGCTTCTTAAATAATCAAGGAAAAAAGTCTTACATTTGGGTGGTTTTGAAGGATAATCTGTAATGAATTAGAAAAGAAAATATATTATATATACCAAACGTTTGATTCATTCGATTATAATTCCCATCCTAAGTATAAATTGGATCATAAAAAATCAAAATAAATAATTTTGATCTATTTTAAATTTTACCTTCTGGAAAAGTTATCGTCATTTTATAAACTCCATTCTCCCATGCTGTCTAACATGAAATTAAGGATTCCAACTTTTGTTAATAAGCATAATATATGTTACGCGTTCCAACCGAATTTGTCAATTACTAAAATGTTGACCCCTTACTCCTTTCTTGCCAGGAATTCCAACTTGCCAAGTCAGTAGATCTAAACCATTTTCAGTTTTTACCGGTCGAGCGTAAAAGCCCTACAAGAACTTGTCCTTCAATATTGCTTTCGCTTATAAAACTGGATAAAGCAAACGCAAGTTACTTACATAAGGATGATCTTTACGCCACTGGCGTCGTTCTTCCATAAGTCTAGACTTGCAAATGCTTGACATGGTGCGAATGTCTTTGAAGTTTTTCGTTTATTTTGGCTACTTGACAAAGATAGTGAAATATTTGACAATAAAAGCTGTTGTGTCCTTCCTAAATTGCATTGCTACACGATGAATAGCCAATAGAATCAATAACATGTGGTCAATTTACTTCATTTATTATTTATCATGTGGTTAATTTCTTAATTCCGTAATACCGACCGGGGATGTTGCTAAAAATTACCATTTTTTAGTTTTATTAATAAAAAAGACTAATTATACAATATACAATATACAGTATTATTTATATTAATTAATATGCATTTATTTAGATTAATGTTTTATAAAGTTTGATAATTGCAAAAATAAATAATGAATATAAAATTATTATATTTTTTAATATATTTTAATTCAAAGAATTACAATAAAGTTAAATATAATTTTGGGCAATTAAGAAATCATTTATAAAAAACTTTTATCATTTTAGATTCTTCAGTTTCATTTAAAAAAGGGAATTTTAGCAAGTATTACTAATTTGAAATAATTAGTTTTCATTATATATATAAAAAAAAGACCAAGATTTATCATAATAAATAATCCAAAAAATTAGAATTAGTAGATTATGTATAAATTAAGAATTTTTTTAATTTTTAATTTTTGTGATATTATAAGAAAATTCTTTAATAATAATGAGTTCACATTAATACTTTTATAATAATATTTTAGCAGATTATGACAATTAGATGTGATGTTTAAATAGTAACTCTTTTTAATTTACATAATAATTTACTCTGAATTTCTGGTTTATAACTAGTATTATTTAAGAGTTTATGTAATTATAAAGACTGTATTTTACTAAAATTTATAATTTACACAAAGGTTTTTATATTATTACTAAGACTTACAAAGATTGTATATCACTAAGATTTGTATTTTACGAAGATTAGTATATCATAAAGGTTTATGAAGATGTAAAAATAAAACAAGTGTTTATTTGATAAATTGATAAGATAATAATATAAGAAAAATAAATAAAGAAATTAAAAGAAGTAAAAAAATAAGAAAATAAAATAAAAAAAAATAATTTTACAAAGAAAAAACATACTCTACTTAAGATATTTTAGAGAATTATCAATTGCATACAGCCTATTAAATTCTGTTTTTTATTTAAGATTGAAAAGGCATAATTATCAAATAAGAAATTTGTAAAATATGATAAATCTTATTTATAGATCGATAAATATAATGAAGGGAGTTAATCTATTGAATAAAAATATGTAATAAACCTTTAGAATTATCACAATGTAATATTCAAGCTTAATTTGGTATTTATACATTCAAAGTATAAGAAAATAATTTTTTTTTGGTTTAAATATTATTATTTTTTATTTTTTTTATTTTACGTAAAATTTATACATCATTTTAAATTCTTTAATAATTCTGTATACATTAATTTTCTAAAAAATTATAAAAATATAAATCATTATAAACATACTAAATTATATACGAAATCATCAATTACGTATATAAACCTTATAAAAAATATATTATTTTCTTATTTTGATTTCTTATAAGATTGTTGTTTAGTAATATATAAAATAATTAATATATTACTGTATCTATTGTCAAAGAATCCTTAATTAATTAAAAATTTTATATTTTATATAATAAATCAATAAATAAAATAATATATTTACTAATAGATCAAATATAGGGATTTTTGCTAATTTCATATTTCATAAATTCATATACTACTCCTAAAATATCTAAATAAATATTTAGCATATCAACATTTTTTAATATAATAATCAATTTTTGATTGATTATTTAGTGACAGATGCAATTCACTTACTAATTTTCCATTTGAATAATTTTGAATCATACTTCTTATTTAATAAAATTATTAAATTATAGATAAAATTAAAATAAAAACTTTAATTATAAATGTTTATATAATATACAAGTCAAAAACTTTCTTCTAGTCAAATTAAAAATTATTCTTTGAAGTTGATTTCTGATATTATGTGAAATTTTATAAAATAGTAAAAGTAGATGATTATACTGATTTACATTTATAATCATAATCATAATAAATCAGGGTTGGCCTAATGGCCAATGGATTCAAAGGACTAATAGCCAATGGATCCAATGGATATTGGTTTATTGAAAAAGTCCAATAGATTTATGGGAGACATTGGATCTATTGAGATCATTAATTTAATTGGTTAATTTATTATATATAAATTTAATTAATTTTAAAACTCAT